TTGTCTCAAGATGTCTGGATCAATCTTGTGGTGGGAGGATGGCTCTGATTTTCCCTTGCTGGTGGCTCCGCTGCGATTCAGTCCACCCAACTCGAGGCCAGGGCGGCCCTTTTGCAGAAAGCCTCTAGTAGGACGTTCGCTCTCATCTCACTCTTTGGGTCTCATGCTCCCAATTGTTTAAGACACGGAGAAGCATACCTGTGTAAATGTACAAGTGTAGGATGTAAGTCCAGGTTTGTTTGCGGCACCTTTTGCATAGCCTTGTTTCAACACCGCATAACCTGTTTTTACTGCCTTCTTTTGAGACTTCTAGGTGACCGTGCACAGTCTCTCTTGCCGAACTGTGTTTGCCTTAAATTCTTGGCCATCCGTGAGGGAGACTTGAACACCATCGGCGAGGGCGGTCCCTACGATTTCGACACGCTGGCGGGCTGAGGGGCTGAGGGGCGGAACGGCTGAAGGGGTCGAAGGGCCGAAGGGGCTGGCCGAGGGTGGAAGAGGCCTGTAGGGCAAGGCATTTTCCGAGGCAGGACGGCAGGTACCAATGGGGGAACTGCTGTCAAGTGGAACCTAGTCCTAAATCGGATTTGGGGGAAGAGAGAATACGGGCGTTTTGACCAAGCGACCAATTTCTAGGGCCTTTTCGGGTGCTCGTTTCTTGCCTCACCGCTTTTCGTAGGGTCCATTGGACCCTGGGGATTCCTTTCCAGGCCGACCAGGCCATGCGGGAGCTGACTGGCTACTTTGCGCTGAGCCCAGTGCGGGAGCAGCCTTCGGAGAAGCAGAAAAAAACGAGACAAGGTGCAGAAAGAAGCGAGGTTTTCCATGGGAAGGCTAGCTGGGAAGAGAGACAGTGAAGCCAGGAAGGGGAAAAAGAAATGGAGGCCCTAAGATTGATACAGAGATGGTCAGCTGAAGCTGAACCCTGAGTTGCGTGATTTCTGGTCGAGTGTGGGGATCCCTCGGGAAACGCACACATGGTGTGTCTGGATGTGGCATCCGGGCATTTCAGGGATCGGGTTGGACTATTTGTCGGAGCTGAGTTTTTCTTTTGGCTCATAAACGGGCAGTACAGGTTATATGCGCATATGTGTCAAACTCGTTTTCATGGTGGTCTCTAGCCACTCAATCTTTTGTGCATGCTGGTTCCATTATGTTGCGTCGTATGTTTCTCTTTTTGTTGTATGCATGATTTTTCTCAAAGTTTCTCGGAGTCGCGCTGGAGTTTTCCTCCGCCGGGCCTGGAACAGTCTGGTGTTTTGATCTGGGAAAGGAGAGACGGGTGGAGTGGAGGGGGAATTCTGTTCACGGAAAACCGTTACGAAGCCAAATCATTTGTAAGGGGTCCCCTATTGTCATACCTCCAGGATGCATGTGCAAGAGTTTCCGTTGCAGTATCTCAGCCTTGCACGTGGGGCAATGAGACGCAAAGGAAGCTTTTTGATTCAGTGGTAGGACTTTGTGTAAGGGGCTATCTTTTCTGGTGTCATGGCTCCTAGCTGGCATGGGTGTTGCTCTGCTGGAAGCGGTGAGGTGCCGCCGCTATCGACGAGCTACACCTTCTATATCTCAGGCAAGTGTTTTGAGCCGTCCTTTGGGGTGGTGTCATTTTCGGAAGAGGAGAGTTTCCCAACAGGGATTGTGGGCTAGGATTGGCCACCCTTCAGTTCTATTCAGCCCATGCAGACAATGAGTCATATGCGCCATTTACTTTGAGTAAGCTGGGAAACTCTCACCAAATCACAATTTGGACACGGGGCCACTTTCGACATCTAATGTCATTGGGGGGAATGACGGAAAACACGCAGTGAAAATTAGCCACGGGCGGTATTATTGTCCGTGGTTCACATGGGTATGTGTCAAACCTGGGGACGATCAGAGGCGACTGCGGGAAGCCCCGCTGTCAAGAGATCCCCGACATACACACAAACACCGGCATGTTGTTCCATCTTGCTGCATGGAGAACACTGGCCTGGTCGGCATCGATTCATATGCACGTTTGTAAAAAAAAAAACAAACAAACAAACAAACAAACAAACAAACAAACAAACAAACAAAAAAAGCAACCAGACCCTGGTCTCCTTGATAGCGGTTTAAACCATGTTTGAACAAGGGAGAGTCTTTCAGAGCATGCAGGGGCCTTGTGGAGTTGGTGAGGGCCATGTGGCCAAAAAGGAGCCAGATTCGACCATACACATTGTTGTGATGGAGTTTTTGTCTCTCCGATTTGGACGCCCCATTGTCTGAGCGATGGTTGGCTCCTTACACATCAGTAGGAAGTTTGCATCGTTACATAGTTATAATGTGTTTTTCATGAACCTAAGAAACCAATCAACTTCCTTTGACTTTGCGAGATCCGTATTGGGATCTGGGTCTTTTTGTCCGTTTGTGAAAGACATCTAGGCAGGATTGGGCTTCCATTCCAACTGGTTGTAAGGGGGTCCCCTTTTGAAATTGGGGTCAAGAGTTCCAGGGCCTTCCAAATCGGAATGGCCGGGCTTTCCGCCAAAAGCTGCTATGGTCCCATGCTGTCCGCGCGACAGGAGACGATCGGGTGACCCTTGAGCCCGTGGCCCCAGTGGTCGCTGATGTCGCACTCGTGGGATCGTAACCATCTCTTGAAGAAGGCGCCGCATGTTAATTTTTCATGGCGGGGTCGCGGTGGAGTGTGGCGCTATGGTGAGCTAAACGGGGTGCCGCGTCCAGGGTCGACACCTTAAAGCTGTTGAGCATTTGCTCGCCTGAAATCAGAACGTTTTTGCCCAAATTGCCCCCTTTGTACTTCCAGGGACTCCAGCCTTCAGCCATTTCCTTCAGCTGCCCGGGCCCGCGCCCGCGCTGTGTGCGCGTCAGGCTCGGAGAGACACAGGGCACGCCCAACGAGACGCTTCGCATGATTTGCAGCTATGATAGCTGGGTCCGGGGCCTAGAACTCCGCAGCCTGAGGTCCGCCCAAGAGGTGCGTTTAGCAGGGGGGGATGTGGAGGATCCTGCTAAACAGAGGAATTCCCCCAATCAAGAGCGCAGTCTCCACTAGAAGGGGGAAGCGCCCCTGATTTATGCGGCTGTCCAGATTCATGTGAAGATGTGATTAGCAGAGTTCGGTTTGAAGTTCAAGTTGGGGGGAAGAAATCCGTACTGCCAAGATGAACCCATCCCAAAATATCTACGTACAAGTTGAAGCTTCAGCCCGCGAAAAATCCACGCGAAATTCGCCACTTTTATTTGCTCAAGATGTTTGCTGCTGTTTCCTGTTGGTTTTGAAGGATCGATTGTCACTGCTGAACGCCTTTCTTAGTAGCCATGAAGCAAATGGATGACGCATCTTTGGGGGTCGTTTTGTTGCCAGTACTTCGGGGCGACAGCTGCGGCTTACTTTGGAAGTCCAGGTCAGTGATTTCGACGGTCTAACACTGACATCTCGTCGGCAGAGATGGGAGTACCGTCCACACCAAGCTATAAACCTCCAGAGTCCGAAAGGAATATGGCACTTCGGCTGTTGAGCTCGCTGCGAGGTCTCTTCTGGCGACTACGCGAAGGTGAACCCCCAAATTTGGCTGGCGGCTGAGTCTGTCGGATTGATGCATCCTGTGGAGCATCTCGCAAAAGCCAGTTTGATCCTGGCTTGGTTCCTGACGAAAGTCAAAAAGGCCGGCGCATTTTCACGGCCGGCTTCTTTCAAAGGGCTTGCTGAGGAGCCTGTCGCTGCAAAGTTTCACGAAGACATGCCAGGCCGGAAGACCGTGACGAAGCCCACGATGGGGTACCCTACCCCCCCCACCCCCCGGCCCCGTCCCAGACACACCAGTCCCCCGTCCGGAGTCTCGCGCGCGCGACGTCTCAGCGCGCGAGGTTCTATGGCGAGGACCTGTCCACCCTGCCGGACTTGACAGGCTCGGGTCGCGCCAGGGCGGTTTGGTTCCAAGTAGGATGAAGCCCAAAGGCACCTGGGGTGCTTTGGGAAAGTCCGTGGGGAAAGACAACAGCTCAAAAGGGTACCATCGACAGGGTGACAATCCCTTGAATGGCGAAGTTGTCATGGTTGTATTGTGCCAAGAGTCCAACTCGTTTTGACGCACGCGAAAAGTCGATGTGCAAGGACCCACGAAGAAGGTCTCCGAGCCCGTCTTCCTCTCTGCCGGGATGTGAGGAGCTCAAGGTTTCAACTTGGGTTTGAGTGCCATCGCCCATGGCAAGTGCCCATGTGAAAGACGGTTTTCACGCCGTGTTTTTTGTTTTTTGTTTGTTTGCTTCTCAGCATTTGTTATGTTGGAACATCAAATTCTAGTTGGATTCACAAACTCCTTGAATGTACATCCGTTTTGGGTTCAAACGTCAGCAGGGCCAAATTCTTTGGTCAATTCAAGGAGTCTTTCTCATTTTTGAGTGGGTTGCCGGGGGGGAGGTGGGAGATGCGATCGCACAGGTTTTGGCATCGGCATGGCACAAACACAATGGATTTGCTCATATGTCCCCTTTGCCTGTCCAATGTTGGGGTGCGGGAAATGGATGTGGGACGCAAGAGCCCTATGAGCCCTCTTGCCTACAAGCCAGCTTACATCTCCAGAGAAGAGAATGAGCAATCTCGATCCTTAGTCCGCCACGTGGTTGGCAAGAAATTATCCTGCATCTTTCTGCAATGCGCACCAATTCCAATGTTCGGAAGTAGGCTATTTGGGCGATTCTGAGGAATATGGCCTCTGACTTGGAAAACATAGTGAGCACATCCTTTTCGGGAGGGCCCACAATTTGTGGTGGCTGCTTGTTCAGGGAAACAACGTGGTCAATTCCTATTCTGGAAACACATGGCCGCTCAGTTCCCCCCTTTTTGAACCTCAAGTGGTTGAATCCTTGCGACCCACGCCAGCAAACTGCAAGTTTTTGAAGTGATATTTGTCAACATCAAAAGGGTTTCTCTCGGGTTCGGGAACTTAAGACGGTGCTCCAGGCTCAAGGTCTCTCAGGGCTTTGGCTGTGATGGGCGCTCAGAGGGCTCTGGGATGGCGGTTGCAGAGGAGCCGGAGGCACGCGCGGAGCGTTCGGCATGCTTGACGTGCGTGGAGGTCGCTGGGTAAAGGAGTCCCCGAAATTGGTGAGACAAGAATGCTTCTTGCCATGCTTGATTCCTTGGCTCCCCTTTGGCTGGGCAACAGCAAATGCTGCATTCGTTTTGGTTGCCCAAACTCCAGCGAAGACCGCTGCTTTTGATCTCTCGGATCGATATTCGTCTCTGCCCAAAGCCAAGCTTGTAACCTTTTGCTGTTCCTCTGCACTTTTCTCGCCCTCAAAGTAGTGGTCGTGCGGGGTTTGCTTTGAAGCGTCGCAGGGAAATCACTCCTTCGGACTCCACTCGTTTTGGCGAACTGGTTGGTTTAACCAAGTCCCGAAAATTCCTTCCCTTTTTGGTGGATTGAGCCAGTACAGTTTTCAGGGAGTGTCCTCTTGGGGAGCTGAAGGAGGAGAGAGATTTAGGACCTAGGAGCCAAGGGTATACTCCGGTGCGGCGTTCGGCAACAGCATCAAGGGCTTGTCTCAAAAGCGCAAACCTTTGTCTTGTAGCGATTGACCACAAAGCACTCACCACCCAGGGCCCACCAGCTTTTTCACCACCCAACTTTCCCACACAAAACCCGAAATTGTCCCAACCCTCCAATTGTCCCAAAGCCACCAAAGACGCGCGCGCCGCGCTGTTCGCGCGGAGCGGTCAGGTGTCGTCCACGCTGTCCCTGGGTGCAGCGGCCACCACGCTGTCCGGGCTCTGGAAGTTGAGGCGGTCCAGCCTCTCGGGCGCCAACCTCGCCTTCTCCGCGGTCTCGGTGAACCTGCCCAAGCTGGACGCCAAGGCCAGTGGGAAAAGGGGGGGTAGGGGGGGGGGAAGGGGGGGGAGAGGGGGGGGGGGGAAAGGGGGGGAGGGAGGAAAGAACCAGGGCCACAAAGGGGAACATGAAGCGGTGGTTAGAAGTTGGATGTTGCTAGGACAAGAACGAGTCCAGCATGTTGCTTCGATACTTGCACTCAAGGGCAACCCAAATGAGGCTGACGGAATGATAGGGTTGCAACAGGTGACGGTTGCAGCCGGTGGCACAGGCTTGGGGTAGACTTAAGCCTGGTTGAAACTCAGCTGAGGGCGGGAGGGTGCTCACGTGGGAACTGAGAGGTGGCCAGCACAGTGCAGAGCGACAAGAGCTTGAACCGCCACTCGCAGCACGTGAGCACCCACAATGGGATCCACCTGGTTTCCACGGAGAGGCGCAAGGCGCTGCTGTCCACCCTGGAGGACAGCGACAGCGGCACGGGGGGTGGGGTGTCCTTTTTGGTGGTTTTGCTAGAAAGACAGATGGCGATTCCTGGTTTACCATTTTTGTTGGTTTAATCATCTACCAGGGAAACCCATCTATTTCCCCTAAAAGGACACCTATAGGCACGGGGATGCGCCTTTTGGAGACAAGATCTCAGCCTTTTGGCAGCCAGAAGGTGGCTTTGATCTCGTTGCTTAGTCTGTCAGAGCATTTGGGAGGTATGCTTTGCTTCCGCTTTCGGAGATGGAAATCCATCCCATCTGCTTTAATTATACAATTGGAGAGGTACCGAAGACGTGATGTTTGGCGCGGCCTGCAGTCGATCCCTCGAATTCGGCAAGTGAACCCAACCAACCAACTCGCAAATTGCAGACCTTAACATGCGTTGATCGGATTGCTAGCAGGCATTGACATCACCAATCACCACGTACGGGCCTAGGCCTAGGCAGGCTTTTCTCGTGTTGCAACCTTGCTGAAGATGCACATGCCAGTCTGAGTTCCACACCTGATCATTGCGGATCCTGAGCATTTTGGGCTGTCCAATTTTGAAGCTTGTGATTCTTTTCTCTCGCAACCATGCCGTCCGCTGTGGAGAATGCGGCCCTGCTGTTCGGCGGTGCAGTGGCCGGCACGGCCCTGACCACCGCCTTCGTGGCGCCTGGACCTGTGGCACAGGAGGCCAAGACCGGGCTCCGTGCGTCGGGCTACTCCCGAGCCTCGCAGTCCTCCAGCTCCGGCATGGGAGCCATGGCCGGCATGGGTGCCATTGCGGGCCTGGCGGCGGCCGGGGTGGCTGGCAAGCGCGCGGGCAAGAACCGCACCTCCATGCAGGCGGTGGGCGTGGGCATCAACGGCTTCGGCCGCATCGGGCGTCAGGTGGCGCGCATTGCCATGAAGGATCCCGAGACGGAGTTGAAGCTGATCAACGCCAGCTACGACGCAGACTACTTGGCGTACATGATGAGATTTTGTCCAGACCGAGCATGCCTTTTCGTGTTTGGAACTTGTAGTTTCTTATAGTAGGGGGTTGCCATACATTTCTTAGTTGCCATCTTTTTCTGCACGCTGGTTCTGCGTCAACCAAAGCCAGGAAGTATGACACCATCCACGGCAAGTATGACGGCACTGTGGAGGTGGATGGAGATTCCTTGGTGGTGGACGGCCAGAAGATTGCGCTGTCCCACACCCGCGACCCTGCCGAGATCCCCTTCGCTGAGCATGGCGCCGAGTACGTGTGCGAGTCCACGGGAGTGTTCCTGACCACTGAGAAGGTTCAGGGTCACTTGAAGGCTGGCGCCAAGAAGGTGATCTTCTCCGCCCCTGCCAAGGATGACTCGCACACCATCGTGATGGGCGTGAATCAGGACACCTATGACCCTTCCATGGAGTGCGTGTCCTGCGCCTCCTGCACCACCAACGGCCTGGCGCCGGCTGTGCGTGTGCTGAACGAGAAGTGGGGCATCAAGCGAGGCCTGATGACAACCTGCCACGCCATGACCGCCTCCCAGCCAACTGTGGATGGCACCTCCAAGAAGGACTGGCGCGGTGGCCGCGCAGGCCCCGGAAATATCATCCCCTCCTCCACTGGAGCGGCCAAGGCTGTGGCAAAGGTGATCCCTGACGTGAAGGGCAAGCTCACTGGCATGGCCCTGCGAGTCCCGACCATCGATGTCTCTGTCGTTGACCTTACCGTCGAATTGGAGAAGGAGACGACTTATGAGGAGATCTGCGCAGAGATGAAGAAGCGATCCGAGGGTGATATGAAGGGCTTCCTTGGCTACACCGACGAGGCGCTGGTGTCCACCGACTTCGAGACTTGCCCCATCTCCTGCACCTTTGATGCCAAGGCAGGCATCATGCTTGATCCCACCTTCGTGAAGGTGGTGTGCTGGTACGACAACGAGTGGGGCTACTCATGCAGGGTTGTGGATTTGATCAAGCACATGGCCGCGGAGGATGCCAAGGCATGAGAAAGGCAGCATAGCTTAGGGAGGTCAAACGTTTAACCTGAAAGTAGAGTCCCATCACTTAGTGATGTTTCTTTCAGTTTTTCCATTTTCGCGAACTCTGCCTTCTTTCTGTGGTGGAGTGCCAGTGAGCAAAAGAGAGCCATTTGCATCACACGCCGGGCTGCTATATGTGGCATTTGCGCCGACGATACAAAGATGTGCCAACCGTGCACCCCTCTCACGCACATGGAAAACCACCTGGAACGGACACTGTCAGTTTTCATGTTCATTTGACTGAGGGCATATGGCGTACAAGAGTCAATCTCAATCTTGATTATATAAGTGTGGAATTACCATGCTGATTCATTAGAGGGGCTCTCTTTGCAATGCATCCCTTCCAGATGTTTGTTTCATGTTGGCTTTCCTTCTTCAACTCCCAAGATCGGCGTGCAAATGAACCATGTATATCTCTCGTCTATCTATGTCGACTTCTTTACCCACATGAGCACAGATGTCAATGCTTGATCCCCGAAATGTCTCAGCATTTTCGGCTGTCCAATTTTGAAGCTTGTGATTCTTTTCTCTCGCAACCATGCCGTCCGCTGTGGAGAATGCGGCCCTGCTGTTCGGCGGTGCAGTGGCCGGCACGGCCCTGACCACCGCCTTCGTGGCGCCTGGACCTGTGGCACAGGAGGCCAAGACCGGGCTCCGTGCGTCGGGCTACTCCCGAGCCTCGCAGTCCTCCAGCTCCGGCATGGGAGCCATGGCCGGCATGGGTGCCATTGCGGGCCTGGCGGCGGCCGGGGTGGCTGGCAAGCGCGCGGGCAAGAACCGCACCTCCATGCAGGCGGTGGGCGTGGGCATCAACGGCTTCGGCCGCATCGGGCGTCAGGTGGCGCGCATTGCCATGAAGGACCCCGAGACGGAGTTGAAGCTGATCAACGCCAGCTACGACGCAGACTACTTGGCGTACATGATGAGATTTTGTCCAGACCGAGCATGCCTTTTCGTGTTTGGAACTTGTAGTTTCTTATAGTCGGGGGTTGCCATACATTTCTTAGTTGCCATCTTTTTCTGCACGCTGGTTCTGCGTCAACAAAAGCCAGGAAGTATGACACCATCCACGGCAAGTATGACGGCACTGTGGAGGTGGATGGAGATTCCTTGGTGGTGGACGGCCAGAAGATTGCGCTGTCCCACACCCGCGACCCTGCCGAGATCCCCTTCGCTGAGCATGGCGCCGAGTACGTGTGCGAGTCCACGGGAGTGTTCCTGACCACTGAGAAGGTTCAGGGTCACTTGAAGGCTGGCGCCAAGAAGGTGATCTTCTCTGCCCCTGCCAAGGATGACTCGCACACCATCGTGATGGGTGTGAACCAGGACACCTATGACCCCTCCATGGAGTGCGTGTCCTGCGCCTCCTGCACCACCAACGGCCTGGCGCCGGCTGTGCGTGTGCTGAACGAGAAGTGGGGCATCAAGCGAGGCCTGATGACAACCTGCCACGCCATGACCGCCTCCCAGCCAACTGTGGATGGCACCTCCAAGAAGGACTGGCGCGGTGGCCGCGCAGGCCCCGGAAATATCATCCCCTCCTCCACTGGAGCGGCCAAGGCTGTGGCAAAGGTGATCCCTGACGTGAAGGGCAAGCTCACTGGCATGGCCCTGCGAGTCCCGACCATCGATGTCTCTGTCGTTGACCTTACAGTCGAATTGGAGAAGGAGACGACTTATGAGGAGATCTGCGCAGAGATGAAGAAGCGATCCGAGGGTGATATGAAGGGCTTCCTTGGCTACACCGACGAGGCGCTGGTGTCCACCGACTTCGAGACTTGCCCCATCTCCTGCACCTTTGATGCCAAGGCAGGCATCATGCTTGATCCCACCTTCGTGAAGGTGGTGTGCTGGTACGACAACGAGTGGGGCTACTCATGCAGGGTTGTGGATTTGATCAAGCACATGGCCGCGGAGGATGCCAAGGCATGAGAAAGGCAGCATAGCTTAGGGAGGTCAAACGTTTAACTTGAAAGTAGAGTCCCATCACTTAGTGATGTTTCTTTCAGTTTTTCCATTTTCGCGAACTCTGCCTTCTTTCTGTGGTGGAGTGCCAGTGAGCAAAAGAGAGCCATTTGCATCACACGCCGGGCTGCTATATGTGGCATTTGCGCCGACGATACAAAGATGTGCCAACCGTGCACCCCTCTCACGCACATGGAAAACCACCTGGAACGGACACTGTCAGTTTTCATGTTCATTTGACTGAGGGCATATGGCGTACAAGAGTCAATCTCAATCTTGATTATATAAGTGTGGAATTACCATGCTGATTCATTAGAGGGGCTCTCTTTGCAATGCATCCCTTCCAGATGTTTGTTTCATGTTGGCTTTCCTTCTTCAACTCCCAAGATCGGCGTGCAAATGAACCATGTATATCTCTCGTCTATCTATGTCGACTTCTTTACCCACATGAGCACAGATGTCAATGCTTGATCTCCGAAATGTCTCAGCATTTTTGGCTGTCCAATTTTGAAGCTTGTGCTCCCTTCTTGCAATCATGCCGTCCGCTGTGGAGAATGCGGCCCTGCTGTTCGGCGGTGCAGTGGCCGGCACGGCCCTGACCACCGCCTTCGTGGCGCCTGGACCTGTGGCACAGGAGGCCAAGACCGGGCTCCGTGCGTCGGGCTACTCCCGAGCCTCGCAGTCCTCCAGCTCCGGCATGGGAGCCATGGCCGGCATGGGTGCCATTGCGGGCCTGGCGGCGGCCGGGGTGGCTGGCAAGCGCGCGGGCAAGAACCGCACCTCCATGCAGGCGGTGGGCGTGGGCATCAACGGCTTCGGCCGCATCGGGCGTCAGGTGGCGCGCATTGCCATGAAGGACCCCGAGACGGAGTTGAAGCTGATCAACGCCAGCTACGACGCAGACTACTTGGCGTACATGATGAGATTTTGTCCAGACCGAGCATGCCTTTTCGTGTTTGGAACTTGTAGTTTCTTATAGTCGGGGGTTGCCATACATTTCTTAGTTGCCA